CTGATGATGGTTTGAATTTCTGTGGAATCTGTGGTGATATCCCCTTTATCGTTTTTTATTGCATCAATTTGGTTATTCTCTCTTTTCTTTTTTATTAATCTGGCTAGAGGTCTGTCTATTTTGTTGATCTTTTCAAAATGCAATTTCAAAAAAAATTACATATATTACCTGAAATATCCAGCTAGTCATAAAAATTTCCAGATTCACCTTTTGGAGTTGATCTAGAAAAATTCCAGATATGTGTATTCTGTCAGAGGTTAGAGATTTATCTTCTTAGAATATATCATGTGATAAAGAAACTTTCATTGGTAGTATGGCAATTTCTCTTGGAGGCTTTATGCCTTTTCTGGATTAATGCTTTCAATAAATAGAAGGAAATGATCTTAGATCTTTGTCTTTTGGGGTTTAAATGAAGATCATCTATACATTGTAAAAGAAAGATGTCATGATGAAATTTTATACTCTTTAGGTCTTGATTGAGAGAAGTAGTGGGGGCTTCTATAAATAACTGATATATAATAGACCTGGAATATTGTTGATTTTTCTATGACAGGGCCAACAAATAGTGACTGTTTAAATCTAGAGGAACAGTAAAAGGACATAGCACAAGTATACAGCAGTAAAGTAGATGGATTTAGATAGTACTCAGAACAAACTGATACTTGATTTTGAAACCACTGTAAAATAGTGAATCGCAGTTTTGTTTTCAATACTCAAATCTTGCACAAACATGTATCTAAGCATACGAGAATTTTTTTTTTTTAATGAGCAACACAGTTGTGTTACAAAGGCTAGTAGCAGTAATAAAAAGATAACTTTTTGCTAAACGTTCCACAGTAGATCCAGACCACCTTTTGTTTTAACTTTCAAAGGTCATTGGGCAAGACTGAGTAGACAATTAGATAAATCATTTATTACTTAGATGGGATCAGCACCTAATAATTTCAAGATATCAGTATATTCCTTGGTTTATAAGGTACCAGGAGCCTCAAGTAGTACTTCAAGTTGTGATTGGGTTAAGTGTCCAGGAATGAAAAAATAAACATCCTCTTGAACTATTAGTGTATGATGCATGTGTCACATACAAGAGATTTCAGATATTTCAGGAAACCGTCCATCTAGAAGGCACTGGATTTGAAAGTTACCATAAAGGAATCTCTCAATAATAAACTTGTTTGGATGTTATCACAAAGGAAGAATGAATGTTGACTCATGGGAAGGCTGAGAGTTATTGTCACACGCTGAGTGATGGGGACAGTCTAGGAGTATTTGAAAATGTTAACACTCCAGTAGTCTGAAGATTCATAAGATAAGAAAGTCACAAAAATAATGATAGAACAGAATAGTACTCATGCTATTTGCTTCTGCCTCTGTATTATTAGAGATGGTTCTTTTTGATGGTTTAACAGAGTCATTGGAAATTGTGTGCTACAGTCTCCCTTGGAGTCCCTTTCATAACA